TTATTGAATTTCTTTAACTAGGAGATAGCAAATTATTTAAATACCATGAGTTTGCAAGCAGCTTATCACCAAAAGAACCAGAGAAGATTTGCATGTGTGGATCTCTGAGCCTCACATAAAAAGGATCTCTGATTCTTCAGGGATGCCCATGGCCACATCTGGACTCCTAGTCTATACCATTTATTTGGTAATTCTCATGGGCTATGGGTAAAATTGTAATATTTCCAGAATCTCTTGCCTGACTTTAGTGCATCTGCATATCAATAGGTGTTTCCAAGGGGTGGGGAGAATTAGTCCATCTATATATCAAAAGGTAATCACAAGGGCCTGCAAGGGTTTCTCTGGACCGGAGAGGTTGGGTAGAGCTCTCTGTTGCTGCAGCCTGGTCAAGAGAGAGACGGGGTAACTGCTTGTAAAAATGAGCAGGTTTCTTTACTTTATTTCTCCCTTTGACTGATTTCAATTTTAGAGGTATTTTGCCCTGGGATTTTCCTCCCAGAGTTACATGGGCTGAATTGTGTCCCTCAAAATTCATGTTCAAGTCCTAGTCCCCAGTATAACAGCATGTGACTGTATTTGGAGATGAGGTCTTTACAGAGGTGATCAGAATAAAACGAGGTCATTAGGGTGGGCCCTAATAGGAAAGGACTGGTGTCCTTATAAGAAGAGATTAGGACACAGCATACACAAAGACATAGGATAAGGCCATCTATAAGCCAAGGGCAGAGACCTCGGTAGAAACTGCCAACACCTTGATCTTGGACTTCTAACCTCCAGTTCAGTGACAAAATTAATTTTTGTTATTTAAAAGCCACCCAGTCTGTGGCACTTTGTTATAATAGCCCTAACAAACTAATACTCCCAACTAGGTGGAAGGTTCTTAGGGGTGTTCCAACATAAACCTTTTTAGCTCGATGTCCTTGTAGAACTCACTAGCTGTATATTAACTTAATTTAATAACAAGATGTGTAACTTGATTCTGTGAAAAAGAAGAAGTGAGAAAAGAGAGGGGGAAAGTTAGTTTGGGTTAGGCATTGATGTTTCTGTGTGAGTGATTCTTTTAGTTCATAGTTAACCAAGGATCGAAATAGTGCTTAAGGCTTCCCAAAGTGATTTTCTTGGACCAAATTACCTTTCCTTTTTTCTCCAAGGCCAGGGAGAGAAGCGCCACCAGTGGCTATGCTTTGCAGGTGAGGAAACCGAGCTAAGAGCCAGAACCTAAGGTGGCGGGTGGCACAGAGCCAGAGGAGCCAGCCTGGACAGCAGCAAGCTCCAGTACACAGACTGCCGAGCCCAGCAATCCTCATCCTCTCCCCTCCAAACGTCACTCACTAAACTCACCCACGCCCTCCTCCGAAAACCACAGTGAAGAGGAGGACAAGTCTTGCCTTTTCTCGGCTGAGCCATTTGTAAGTAAGACTCAGAGCCTTGGGCTAGCGCGGGAGAGGGAGCCCTGCAATCACAAAGAATGGTGTTTGTTTTAATTCGGGTACAGCAATCAGCTCTGGTACTGATCCTGTGCGCTTACTGCAAGTTCTCAAAGGTTTCTCAGGGCAGCTCTTTCTTTTTCCATTTGCGGTTTTCCGGCCACAGCCAGGGTAGCTAAGCCCTTCGTTAGGTTGCTGAAATGATCTCACTTCTGCATTCCCTGGGCTTCCTCCTGGTTGGCCAGCTGCCTAACAGCTGGCCCCCTCTCTGTAGGGCGCTGGGGCAGGAGGTGGCTTAGCCATGCTTTGTCTATGGGGAGGCCGGAGGGTGAGGCCAGGGGCCTGTGGGGGCTGTCCTGCCTTTCTTTGAGGATGCAAGCTTTCCCCTCATCCCAAACCCAGTAGATAATTGCTGCTAAACACCTGCATCCAGGAAGCACTTACATCCTTAGGGCATGGATTTCCTTTTCCTCCAATAAATTAGTTAACTATTTGGGAAAATGAATTAAAATCAGGTCTCTGCCATAGGCCCTGGAATGAGACCCCTGGAACCCCCAAGGCACTGCGAAGGCCTAATCCTGTGCCCTGCCCTGCTCCTAGGGGCTGCAAACTCAGAGTAGTGCTGAGCACTAGGGGGACCACACAGTCTGACTGTGGTGAGTGCAACTTTGATGCTTTGAAACAACATCAAGCTCACTGTCCCCTCCCACGGTTTGATTTGTTTCCTAATTTGGATGAGGCCATTTAGGTTATCATTAAATTACCTTATAGATTTCACGGGTCAGTTTCTAGTATCTGTTATTAAGTACCTTGCAAGTTTCCTTTCTTTTTCTTCCTCCCTCTCCAACCCCCTTGCAAGTTTATTAAAAACCAAAACCCAAAACTGTTCAACTTCTAGCTAAAACTTTCCCTAAAATAACTTAGGTTATTTTCCTAACCTGATCACTCACTAATAATATGCTGAATACCTATCCAGGTGTATCTGTAATGTAACTGCCCACAGACTTTAATTCTACCTTAGCTAATGGGTACATTTAACCCTATGACTTGTAGAGACCTTATTCTGATGAAGAAGCTGGCTTCCCTCCGGGTAGAGCAGACAGGTGTGTTTGTGTCCCCACAGCCTCGCACAGTACCTCCAACAAAGTCAGGCTCATGAAATGTAGCTGGAATGAACGACTTCCTCTGAGTAAGATCTCAGAGGGGTTGTGAAAACATGATGTCCTTTCCCACTCAGCATCAGTCTCTGTGGTGTGCGTGTGTAGATGCAGAATATTCTGCATCTAAAGAAATGGAAGGTATTTTGTATAGTTCGAGTAAACTCTCCATATGCAGATATATCTAAAATGTGCAGAAATGTACTTTAAGGAAGAGGTGTAAGTACAGTCCATATTTTTAATGTCAGGGCCTCAGGCTGAGCCCAGAGGAATCCAGGGTAGGGGTGGAGAGATAGGGAAGGGGGAAGATAGTGGCTGCAACTGCCAGGCACAGAGAGGCCTCTGGCCCCAAGGAAGGGAGGGAGAGGGTGGAGGCCAGCGAAGATAAGGCAGGTTTTTGAATGCCTTCTGTGTGGTGTATTCCTTGGCCCCTGAGACCTCACTGACTCCTGTCGTCAGTCTCCCAGCCCAGAACAATTTCAAAGGAAAACCCCGGTAGGGTTTCAGGGTACCATGGTCGTCCCTACAAGCTCCCCACCTCAAGTCGCTGAACAAGGCACTGCTATTCCCGTGAATGGGAACTCAGAAGGGTTCTGCCTGCCCAAAGAGGCGGCTCCACACCGCGGGCAGCTCCCGGCACACGCACCCCTCACCTGACTCTGAAGTAACCTTGGGCGCCACCACCCTGGGGATTAAGGGCAGGGGTGTCTGCTGGACTGGAACTGCTCAGCAAGTTGCCACAGCTCTAAATTGCTGGTTTTCCGAGATGAGCTTACGCCCCAAGGCCTGCTCTCCGGGACCTTTAAATGACGCCGTTTCAGATGTGTTCTCAAATGCCTGTTCTGCAATCAAGTTCGGACAGAAAGAATATTCCCAGCAATATTATATTTTGTCACTGTTTTGGTTTTAGAAATTAAACTACCTATGATACTATTTTCGATGACTGAGTGTCAAAAGTTTTGTCAAACCGATTCATTACTGTAACTCTTGCCTTTATTACTGGCGGTGATAATCCTGACTGTTTCAGTCTGGAGGCCGCTGGGACCCACTCATGCGGAATGCAGCTGAAGGCTGGGCGCGCCTACCTGCGCTGGTCTGCGAGGGGCAGCTTCTATTCTTTCCAGAGGTGTGCAACACACTCTGAGCTATTTGTGCCAATGGAGGGCAACCCCATTGTGGCTTCCTTAGGTTTTGAGTTACAAACAACAGCTTGATGTTTCTGTACCTGTATCTCCCATGTATGAGTGTGATTTTATTTCCTCTTCCCTGCATCTTCATCTATTTTCAGGCCCTGCTTCTCTGATCCCCTAGAAGGGCAATGGTTCTACTGCTCTCCTGTCCGTAGCCACAGAACATGCTGGGAAAAGAGCCTTGAGCGGACGGGGACCGTGGGACCCTCTGGGAGGACAGCTCTGGAGATCCACTGCTCACCCCCAGCTCCCAGCCTGAAGCCACTTCTCTTTACAGTGTTATTCTAAGTATTCCCAGATGGGGCTCAAACAAATGAACTCCCACTCTCTTCTTAGTATAACACAGCAGCGTGGCGTTTTTAAAACGAAGGGAAGGACACCTAAGAAGGGACTTTACAGCTCTGGTCCACAAAAAGTGGGTTTCTGATAGTGTTTTCAGAGGATGAGCCTGGGGCCCCAGGGATGGACTGCTCAGCTATTTTTGAGTCTGCAGCAAGCATTGTGTTGTCCAGTGGGGTGGCCACAGTCAGATGGGGCTATGGAGGACCAGAAACGTGACTGGTCCAAAATGAGATGTGCTTTTAGTGGAAAATTAACACATGATATTAAAGACTTAGTCTCCCAAAGAATGCAAAACGTGTTACTAATTTTTATATTAATTACATGTTTAAAGATAATATTTTAGATACTCAGGAGAAATAGAATACATTACATAGTTAAAATTAATTTCACCTGCTTCTTTTTACCTTCTTTAATGTGGGTATTAGAAACCTTAGGAATGATACATGCAACTGACATTTTATTTCCACTGTATGTTGCTGCTCAAACAAGAGCCTTATTCCCTACCTTGCAGGATCCTTCTCCAGGGAACTTGCCTGCTTCCTTGTAATTGTCCAGGGATGGTTGAGCTCCCTCACAGGCCTCCCACTCAGTTCTGCTCTTCAGTCTGAGACAGTCACCTCATCTACACCCAAGCCAATGGACCACTGTGATCGGCCATCTTCAGATAGGACCCTCTTCCATACAGGGAGGCACGGCCTTGCCCTCACAGCCCACTTTACATTCAATAACCCCAGGCCTTATCACAAGAATTATGTCACCCCCCTAAGGAACCCCACATCCATCTCAGGTTTTTCCTAAATAAAGTGTAGCAGCCATGATGAGTGTTCAGTGCTGAGCAGTTAAGAGCCCCTCCTACAGAGACATATGCACCTGGGCTCACCTACCAGGAAGATGCATGGGTCACTGGGCGCAGCCTTCTCTTGGCAGGTGGAGTCTGGCTTGCCCAGTATCACAGAGCTGAGGGAAGGTAAAGCTGACCGAAGAATCAGGCATCTCAGCTCCAATCTTGTCTAGATTTCTATCTAATTCATATTCCTCTGGTGCCTAAAAAGGAGAAAAAATTAATTTCACATGTAATTAGTGAAGAGTAATCCTATCCTTTTACTATGGCTTACCCACCAGGTAAGACTTCCCCTTTTAGGTGTTCCAGTGCCTGGGAAGTGATGAGAGGTGGAGGGAGAAAGAACAAGATCTCAGAGTGTAGCTACACAATGCTGAAAGGGTGGAACCTGGTGCCACCCAAATGGCTGCTTTCATCTTGCCAGAATATCTGATGAATCAACTAAATGTTTCAACTTCTTATGCAAATATTTAAGCTGTAGATTTATGAAGGTGGATAGTTATCGGACAAGGCCATAGGATGCTAGATTTATACCAACTGCTGAGAGCGCAGCACAGTCCGGGGGCAGTTCCTGATTGTAGAAGGGCCAGGAAGCAGGCAGCGACACCCAAACACAGATGGCTCCTGATAATTGACTATCTCTCTTCCAAGCGCAGAGTGTTATTTCAGGAACACAGCACAGAGCCAACCATCTGCTAAGGTTCTGGGAAGGGCTCTGGTTGGACATGCATGGAGAGGACCGCAAATTATGCAAAAGTCCCGCATGGCCATGGCCACGCCAGGGGTCACCCAGCACGCCATGCTGACTGCAGCAGAAGGGTTCAGAGCTCCGTGCTGGTGGGAACCTCTACAGGAGGAGCCCAAAGGGCTGCTGTGGTGACAGGTGTCTGCTGGGAATCTGCCAGGCCACTGTTGTCCCCATGCCTTAGAAACTGGGACACGCTGCTTTGCTATTTTCAGTCCCTGGAGGACTGTAGCTTCCCAAAAAGGTGATTCAAGGAATAGTTTCTCATATTAATAGCAGACATGCCCTGGGAATGGTTGTTCAAGGCAAACTGGATGAGAATTACAACACACAGCAAGTAACTAAAATTTTCTAAAGGCTTGAGAAACTGAAGCTTTCCAGATCTCTTCAAACCTTTACCCCAACTGTGAAGTTTTGTTTTGAAGTCTTGAAAAGCCAGAGCTATCTTTGCAAACATAAACTGCACCTCACAAGTTCAGTGCAACATTTGAGCTCACTGCCATCACTGGCTGTGGCACCAGGAGCTCTGGCAGTCACTTCCCCTTGTCTTCAAAGTGTCCCTCAACCCCAAAAACTAGCTCCCATTCCACATGCCATGCAAAACAAACATAAAAGGTGAGTCAGCCATACAACACAAAAATCAGTGAATGCTGAAACAAGATCACTTCATTCTAGATTTCTCTAGCGTCAAATTTGGAGCAGTTTCTCCCTCCCTCCCTCCCTCCTTCCTGCTGTTCCTCCTTCCCTTTTCTCCCTGCTCCATTTGGCTAGTCCTCTGTACACCTGCATAGTCCGCCTATTGAATAATCCCACTTTGGTGTCCCCTTCAAATAATCATGGACCTCAAAGCTCTTTCACTTCCTGAATATCTCACTATGGGTCCATCTTCCATGAATTTATCTTCAGTGAGAAGATATCTATTCATGCCCCTACCTCACATATGGTTTTTACCATATCTCTAGGGGTGGCACAGTGGTAGCTCTGGTGGCCTCTGACTTATATGTCCCAGACCATCGTCATCTTTCAGTAGTAACAGACTGGGGAGTGGGGGCCCAATCAGGTGGATGCATGACCATGGAACCTCTGTTCCATTCCATGCTCATTATTGTGGAGCATCTCTTCTTCCTTCTACCCCTTGTCCCTCAGCCCATAGCATCTTCAGGATCCATAGGGTAGGTGGGTGGGAAGGGAGGAGGGATGACCGTCCACCAGCTGCTCAGTTTCCTCCGCCTGCTTTCAGCCTCGCAGCTGGTACAGCACAGCCTCCAATGCCCCCACTTCTGCACGGTGGTGTTCTATGACTCATGCCAGAAACTTTTCTCCCTCTCATGTAAAGATGATAACCAGATTTTCCAGAAACTCCTAACTGAAAATTTTCTGTTTGCCAGACCATAACTCCCATTTGAGGAAATATGACCTCTTATCTAGGACAGAATTAATGGAAGGCTATTGTTAGCACCTGTAAGAATAATTCTGATTTTCTACTTTTTAGGGTCTAAGTAGACTTCGAGCAGCAAAAGAAGGAGGAATGACAAAGTTAAGGTGCTTTGATTTTACATTTGGTTTCCTGTACTTGCAAGAGAATCTTGAAAAAGTAGTCAACATTGATTTAGGAGAAAAATGCAAGTTGTAAAGCAAACTGTCCTCCCCATGGAGAGGACAGACACTTTAAAACGGTTGCATCAGAAGAGGTAACCAAAACACTCAGAGGGAAATGGCAAGACATTTTTGTTTCACTCATTAGCATATTAACTCTTTTTTTTCCAACACATGGTAATTACTAGAATGTTCTGGACACCTTGGGACTGCAAAGTAAGATATCCCACTTGCCTCCAAAAGTTCAGTGGTGAAGGGTGGGCACACCTATAAATCATTTCTCTTATTTTTAGAATTTCAAAATAATCTTAAGCTTACAGAAAAGTGTCAAGTATAATACAAAGACTTTGTTTCTTCTGACCCACTGTCCCCATCTTTTATTTTCTGTCTTCTGATGCTTTGACATTTGGGGGACTTGCTGCTCCTGGAAGGACTGCCTCTCAGGGTAGCCAGTTCCCAGAGATAACAACTTGCCAGCAAGCATGCTTTTCAGTGCAGTCCTACCAATCCAGAGTCCACAGCTCCTGCACTCAGGGCTGCTGGCCACCTGCTCTATTCACCACAGGGCCACCTACAGCCAATCAGGGATAGCCACCAGCCCTGGAGCCCACTAATGTGATTCAAACTAGCCAATCCTAGGCCTGCTCACCCTGCCTTGTCTGTTCCTGTAGAAACCACAGTAAAGGCTCTTGTCCAAATGTTCCCTCATTCCCTCTGCCTTCCTACCGACTCCCCATGTGGCCCTGCAGGGCATGGCATGCCTCCTTCTTTGGAAATTGTGGGAATCAAACTATCTTTTCAATGGCTGTCGTCTCCTGACCTGTTTGCATTACCATTCCTAAGTAATAATAAAACCTATATTAAACCACAACCACCCCTGAAGACTTTATGTACAATTCCTACTAACCACAAAACAACTAATATTTGGAAATTAATACCAATGCATTACTACCATCTAATCTTCAATCTTCATTTGGGTTTTGCCAATTGTCCCAATATTGTCCTTCAGATCAAAAGGACCCAGACCAGAGTCAGACATTGCATTTAGGTATTGAGTCTCTTTAGCACCATTTATCTGGAGCAGTTCCTCAATCTTTCCTTAACTTCCATGACATAGACCCTTTTGAAGATTACTTGCCAATTATTTTGTAGAAATAAATGTAGAAAGTCCCGCAATTGCGGCCTCTGTGACGTTTCTTCCCCTGATTAAAGTTCTACTTCCTTGATGGAACCTCACTGAAGTGGTGTTGTGTCCTTCTCAGTATATGCCAGCCACCAGGTCACGATGGTACCAGTTCACCTCATTGCCATGGTCACTTGATGAAATTGGTGTCTGCCAGGCTTTTCCACTAAACAGTTACCCTTCTTCCCTTTATAATTAATAAGTACTGTGTGGGGAGAAACTTTGACACTGTGCCAATATTCTGTTCCTCATCAAACTTTGAATTCACATATCAGCATAAACTCATCATTTATTTGTATTCAACAAGTTATCACCTGTTACCTATAATCCATTATACTTTGTTAAGCCCATTATTTATTTTGTACTCAAACTGACCTAGATTTGTCAAGTGGCAGCTCCTTTAAAGTGACTTCAGTAGCAAAACTGAACAAACAAAATAGCAGCAGGCTCACAGACTCCAAGAAAGGACTAGTAGTTACCAAAGGGGAGGGGTGGGTAGGAGTGGGAAGGGAGGGAGAAGGGGATTGAGGGGTATTATGTTTACTACACACGGTGTGAGGGGTCAAAGGGAAGACAGTGCAGCACAGAGAAGGCACATAGTGACTCTGTGGCATCTTACTGCACTGATGGACAGTGAGTGCAATGGGGTATGGGTGGGGACTTGATGATATGGGTAAATGTAGTAACCATATTATTTTTTCATGTGAAACCTTCATAAGAGTATATATCAATACTACCTTAATAAAAATTCTGAAAATATTATTAATAATAATAAATAAATAAAGTGGCTTCAGTGTCTTTTTGACATATCCCCATCATTTTTTTTACAGTACTTTCTTGTTTTCTGTCTCAACAGGATGTTCTAGCCTCTGCTTGTACTTTCCCTGGAATTGGCCATTTCTCCAAGGAGTCCTGTACCTTTTTAGAGGAGACTGGTATTTAGAAATCAAGATCTAGGCACTGAGTGTGTTCATATTTATGGAGGTTTCACTGCTCCCAGGCCCTCATGGTGAGCAAAACAAAAGTGTTGGTATGTACATGCATACACATAGACACACACACACATACATACATTGTGTTTACATTTATTTCTTTGTCTCTATGTCTCTAACGTGATTCTATTTGGGGATGATGATGGAGCAATGCTGTCATTCGGTTTGGCTTCTATCCAGAGGATTTGGTTTTTCCTGGTTTTTGCTTGTTTATTGGTTGGTTGGTATATTAGTCTGCTAAGGCTACTGTAAGAAAACATCACAGACTGCATGCCTTATACAGCAGCAATTTATTTTTTTACAGTTGTGAAGGCTTGAGGTCTGAGGTCAAGGTGTCAGCAGGTTTGGCTTCCCCCAAGACCTCTCTCCTTCGCTTGTAGATATGCTCCCTTCTCACAGTGCCCTCACATGGCCTTCCCTTGGTCTGTGTTATGTCTCAATCTCTTCTTCTTATAAAGACACCAACCATACCAGATTAGGGCCCACACATATGACTTCATTTTAACTTAAAAACTTCTTTAAAGGCCCTACCTCCAAATACAGTCACATTCTGAGATACCAAAGGTTTGGGCTTCAATACATGAATTTAGGGAGTAGATACAATTCAGCTTATAACTGTTAATTTACCAGAAAAAATCAGCAATTTGGCAAAGGTCTATATGTCCTAAATCAAAAGAAATCAGGTTTAAGTCAACCAAACAAACAATAATAAATATTTTATAAAGGAAACAAACAAGATTATGATTATCCCTCTTTGATGGGGAAGCACCGTGTAAATTTCAATGGCTCAAGTTTGTCCTCAGTTCAGAAATCCTTCTCCTGTAGGCCATTCTCAGAGGCCTGTGCAGTTTGTATTCAACAGGTTATCTGACCTAGATTC